CTGTCAATTATGAACTGTATGTATAATGTCAATTTTCAGCGAGCTTTACTTCTAATAACAAAAGTTTTTCAAGCAGCTGTGGAGACGGACAAGCGTGGCAAAAAATTGAGTCCGGCCAAACTTTTCGAAGAGAGTTAGTCCTGCTGCTCATAGGACATTTTTATATCGGCCGTCTTTCTCTTCTCACAAAATGTTTGTCACAGGCAGCGCTTTTCTACTTAACTCTCTCTGGCAAAGTACAAGAAAATTGCGCTTCATATGTCTTTCGTGTACACATACATCTGGACGGATCAGGCAGAAAAAATGTATCTCTTTTTCCGCACCGTGTATTTCTCATTTTCCTCGTGCAGCTGTCAGGCAGGACGGCGATTTTACACAAACAGAGAATGAAAGAAAGAAGCATCAAGTCCGAAATACATGATGCAAGCTCGAAAAAGTTTTTGTCTACATTTGCGAGACGGATTTGTCCTTTCTCAGTTCTTTCTTGGCAAATGTTTGTTGTTGGGAATGAAATTTCTTCTTTCCGCTCATAAATAAAAAAACAAAAAAGCATCAAGCTCAAGAGTTCCCCCTGCCACTTTGCAAATTAAATATTTACAAGGGTATTTTTCTTTTCATTTTCTGCTCTTTTTCTGTGAAATTACCGTTTCTTGGATTTAAAATTTCTTACAAGTTGGTGGCAAAAAGAAAAAACAGCAACAAAATTCTCTGCTTTTAGCATGTTAAATATTGCATCAGCTTTTTCCATTTTCTGCTCTCTTACTCCCCGTTTCTTCTCTTATGTATACTAAAAAAATTCTTAAAATAAATAAATTTACTGTGCAGTAAAAACAGCAGCGTAGAAGTTTTCAGATTAAATATTAATATAGACGCTTTAAATTTTCTATGTACTTTTTTCCTCTTCTATAATTCACGATTTTCATTAAGTAAGAAGTTGCTCTCAAACAAGAGCTTGTGAAAAAGATGCCTAGTGACGTTGCCACGCTGGAGAAAAATGGTGTTTTCTCTCAAAAGAAAGCGTACATAGGTACCATGCACTCTGCCAAATTATTTTCCGGGAGATTAATTTTGCGGTCAGGCATTGTTCGCGTAATCAAAAATCTGCCAGAAATATTACAAAAAAACACTGCCAACAAAAACAACTTTGTTTGCTATAGAAATCTGAAATTGCAAAACTTTTTTCATTTCTTTTCAGCTCATAATTTATGAATTTCTTTCTTCAATATTCGCATAATAAATATTGTTTTTCTTGCAAATACTTCTTTCAGCAAAGTACATTAAGAGCTCCTCTACTATAGGTAAGTAAAAAAAGTTTAATTAAATATTAAATTTAAGGAAATAAATCCTATAAGAAACTGATTAAATATGGACCAAATGAAGAAAAAAAAATGGGAATGAGATGACTAAAATTTTGCTGAAATCTTTTAATTTAAATTTTAAATTCAATTTTCTAACAAAACCAGGAGAAAACATGATTAATTTTCACGATGCTTTTACTGAAAGTACTTAATTAACTAACACAAATGGCCAACATTTTTGAAACTTATGTAATCTAATTTTAAGGCTCGTCTGTCTAAATTTTTAACAATTTTATCTTTTGGGCCCAATGTTCGAATTCACTTTGAAATTATTTAAACTACAAATCATAAGAAAGAATATTCATATCTTATCCCAGTGAAATTTTTTATAAACTTTGCAAGTAAATAAGGAGAAGCATTCTATTGGAGATACAATTTTTAATTAATTTAATTATTCAAAAATATTTTGGGTCATTTGCATCAATTTGAGCTTAAAAACATATAACTTTTTCGTGCATTTTTTTACTTTTTACAAGAAAACTTTAGATACGTGTACTGATTTACATATTTTAAATTTGATAGAAAATTTTCTATTTTAACTGAAGGATTTTCTGGATTGATATGGATATCAGTTTGTGGAATCTTCCTCGAGCATTATCGAACTACATAGAAATTAGCATATAAAGACCGTCAGGGCGAGATGTGCTGTCACTAAACAGCATTCACAATTTTTCACGCATTTCCCGCAGGAGAGAAATTCTTGCAAGCATAGAACGCAGAAAACAGTCGCCGCAGACAAATTGCTTTTGTCTGCAAAAACTAGGGACGAGCATTTGCATTTGCAAAAGAGACAACACACATCTCGCCGAGGCACAAATTCCAACACGCGGCCGGCAATAAATAAGGGAAGGAGCGAAAGAAAGAAAGTTGCGCATAAATTCATCAGGCGGCCGTGCTATTTCGGATGTGTCACCGGCGGCCGGTCGGGACTTCGTGTATAGCAGGACGGGCCTGGAGTGCCGTTTGATTTATTAGGGCCGTGTCAACGCAGACCTGCCCGCTCTTCAAACCCCTTTTAAATAAATGCGCCGGCAATATCCATTTTGCGGACGCGCTTCTTGCTGCTGATATGTTGCGTGGAATATTGATAACAGACACGAGTTTGAGAGAGTCCCTCCCGTTTTTCACCAGCCTGATTTATGTCCGCCCTTAAAAGAGGCTCCCTGGTAATGTACTTTTTTTGCTCCGCTCCTAATCTGGTGTTTCGTCACGTGATATGCGTTGTGTGGTCATTTTTCGTCGGAAATGCTCCTTTACGAAATATGAGCAAACAAGTATTTTTTGGAAGAAATTTGTGAATCTTCCCTCCAAAATTAAGCTTATCACCAACTAAAAATATTATAATTTTTATCAAGCATTTAAATTTTGGTGTCTAGAACACCTAAATTTACGATTGCCCACAAAATTGGCAAGTAAAAAATATATATTTTTTTAATTTAATTAAAAATTGACCTTTCAAATTAAAGTTTTAAAGTAGATTTTTCTCAGCTCAATAATAAATTTCGATAAGGCTTCGATCCTTTGAATTACTTGAATGGTAATCAAATATAAAAGTCTATTTAATGTACTAAAATTGTAATGAAATCGAGGAATATTTGCAAATATTATTCAGGATAATAGTTTTTGCCATTTAAGCGTAAAAGAGTTTCCTTTTGCATTATTCATACGAGCTTAATTAATTCCAAAACGATCTCTTCTCCCAGGCGCCCTATTCAATCAAGACGTCAAAGTTGCGGCTCGTCTAACTCTTTCGCAGCATCAGCACAGGTTCATTAAACGCCCTCCACGTTCTCGTCCAGACCGCACTGCATGACCGGTGCCAAAATGCGACTCTCCGGCGCAATTTACGGTCCCAATTACGCCTAACTGGTCCATGCAGGTGAGTGCCTTTTTAGCTTGTAAATATGTATAAAGCAGCCAATGGGTGTGGTAGCGCAGGGCCATTTCATTTATTTCAAGTGCCGAGACCAACCAACGAACCTGTTCTACGCTCAATCTAAAGGAAGATAACAATAAATCTTCCATGCTGTAAAGGGCAGTGAGAAATTAATTCAAGCAAATCCAGAGAAGGTTAAATTAAAATTTATTTAATATAAAATAATTACTGAATAATTTCATAATTTTATCACACATGAAATTTAGAAAAAAAAATTATTGACATTAAACTAAATCAATATTATACTGTTTAAATTACGACTATATTAAAAAAAAAACTACTTGATTGAAACTTATTATAAAATAATTCCCAACTCTTTAGTATCTCTTAAAGCTCTTCAAACTGAAAACAGATTTTCATTTTGGATTAAATTATTTGGTCACTGCCCTGTCCTGGGAGTCTTATGTATAATTGTTCGTCAAGAGTCATTAGCTTTTTGCACAGTTATTTATGCGTGGCCATTAGGTTTGTGTTGTTCGTTGCAAAAGGCCGCTCTCAGCAAAACCAATGACATAATGCGTATTTAATTACCAAGCAAGGAAACAAATGCGCTCAACTGTCTCCCAGAAGCAATCAATATACGAAAGGTGTTTGCTTACTGAAAAATTACACCAATGAAATTTCAATGAAAAAAAGTAGTTTTTCCATTCACGAGGTGCAATTTTCTTTTACAACCAAGAATCCTGAGCTATTATAAAAGTAGAGACGGAGAATGAGTTTATTTGTTCAAGAAGCAGATTTTGTAGTCTCAAAATTCAGTTAAGTCTCTTTTAGCAAGCAATAAAAATTAAAATTATGCAAAAAATTACTCATGGGAAGGAACTCGGTAATAAGCTACAAAAGTCTCGGTTTAATCCAGAAATTTAAAAAATTAGAAAATAAAACCTGGATGTTATTACCGAAAACTTAAAAGAGAAATGTTTCAAAAAATTATTGATAAGCATTGGATTTTTTAAATTAGAATTACTATATTTTCTTAAATCTATCGGCCAGAATGAATTGCAGAGCGGATTAAAAATTCAATTTGGAAAATTTCAACATTCTAGCCTAAATAAATTTGTTTTCAAAAAACCACGTCAAGTCCCTTTGTTACGTCACAGAGCACGTTTGTATTTGTTACTTGTCGCAATGTCAACTTGAATAATTTAAAATTTATGAGTAACAAATATTTAAAGCTACACTTTGCAGTCGGTCATGTTATTGGAGTTGGCAGTGGCGCGGAATGCATCGGACATGCTGATAAGCAATAACATAACTCGCTTCAAACGTGTATTTAAATACAAATCAACTGGAGGGAATTAAGAAGTGTAAACGTTGTAATATTCTCCGTGTCGATATAATGATTGCATAAAAATGAAAAATATCAAAACACGCCCATCCGAATGAAACGAAAAGGTCGTCCGAGCCAGGTTATCCTTAAATAAATTTATGTCGGACGGTCGTAAATTTGCGTTCGAAGAGCGAAATGAAGTATTTATGGCGACCTGTAGAGTAATTTTATGCACAAGTGGAGACTGCATGTGAGATACTCGAATGCACAAACACATATATACGGGTACCCCTCTATCTTTATTCTGACCTTGCCCGCCAGAGATCAGTGACCCTGTTGTAAAATATGCACACACTCGCAGCTCTCGGCTGAATAAACTGCAATTATCATAAATGTGTTTATAAATTTCATAAAAGCACTTGCATGTTGGTTGCACTCACAATTCGCAGCAGATTCGCGGCGTTTTTAGAAGTATTGAATTCTTCTTCGGTTTTATTTTTCCCACAAGCAAGTGCTGAGAGTGCATTTTATCGCGCGTTATGTTCGATCCATCAGCGAAATGCACACACGCGATTCAAGAGGATATTATTCTGCAATGACATGCTGTGCTGAATATAAGGTAGGTTCAATAAAGATGTGTCCGTCGTTATATACGCGATGGATAAAATTATCTGTTGTAAGATCGACTCATAAAAGTGACACCTGAAGGCAGAGGAAATGTTGACGACAGAAGCAGTCATCAAGGCGTTTTTATTGAATTTAATTTTCTTATATCCACTGTCATGTAATTTTCTCACGCAAAGATATAAAAAATTCTAAATTTCGCTTTAGAAATTTGAAGTGTAGTTAAGTGAAATTTCAGGCCAAGCCTTTTTTTAGAAGCTTTTATAAATAATAATAAATCCACCTTAATTAATTAACAGCAGACGCTTCGCTTATTATTTTAGTGGGATGAAAATTGAAAATTTTAAAGAAATTAACATTTATTAATAATAATTTAGACTAGATGCCAGATTATTTTTCTTAAACCAAGAATTTATTGAAAAATTGATAAAAGATCACAGATATAAGATGCATTATTTAATAAATAAATTGACAATCATTACATTGAACTTAAATGGTTGTGTTTAAATACCTGTAAATTAATTCCAAGGAATTATTATGACGCAAAAATAGTGGTTGATAGGTTATAATTTAAGAACATAGAATTTTAATTAAAATTTAAATTATTTTATACATAAAATAACGAAGAATATTTTATTATACAGAAGGTAGCAAAAATAATATCGAAATTGAAAAAAAAATTCACATTGATTTATGTATTTACGTGTATTTAAACCTGTCACGTCAGGTATGCGGTTAGCGTCCAATCAATCAGCGGGACCAAGGTGGGATGGCAAGCGCTGCCCTGCCATGGATAAATTAGCAGCATGAGATCGGCGTAGGAATTAAAATAACAAGAGCGCGCGAGTGCAGATGCTTTCGATTCAATTTATTTACGTGCTGGCAGATAATATGCGAGGCATCTGGTGTTTTAATTGATTGTCCAGATTGGGATACACAGACGTGTGTTTGTGTGTTGCATTTGATGTGGCGGATCAATTTACACACAACAGCGGTGGCAATGACACTGCATAATTGGGCCTTTGAACTTGATATGCATAATCACGTGTCTGATTAATTGGCACGAGTTCTTGGTAATCCAATTAAATTCTAATTGGCTGAATCAACCTAAAATTAATGAAATTGAATTTTAATTGAATAAATTATTTGATAGTAAAAACATGTTAAAAAAATTATTTACTTATTGATCTGAAAATTACTTATACAATTATTAATAGTAATTTTATATAGTTATTTATTTGCTGTAGTTTAAAATTTTACCTGGACTTAAAATTGGATCTCAAAAATTCATCACAAGAAAATTAAAAATAAAAATGGCAAGAAGGAATAAAAATATTAATCTTTAATTTTAAGCCTTCTCTTTTACGGATGACGTGGATTTCATGCATGGATTCTGGCCATTATCCCTTCTCTATTTATTCAATAAGCATGTTGTGCAGCAAAATAAGTCATCCTGAGCCGAGAAGTAATAAATCCAGTGCAAATTAATGAGAGTGGCGCGCGTGTTCATCCCCGAAAGGCGAGGCTGCGAGTGACAGGTCAATTTTTCATCTGCACGTTGTCATCCTGCTTCCAGCATTAATTTTAATTGCGATTTCGAAACGGAAAATGGAGATTCGGCGCTCAACGGAGGAGAACAACAACCTCCTCATCAAATTGCGAAAACACGACGCTGCTTTTTTCCTTGCTCGTGGGAATAAAAAAGGACGCAAATTCGCCGGCAGACATGTTATGTGCAATTTGAATTCTGCGTCTCTCTGCCAAGTTCAAAGGCGACGACCAAGAGAGAGAATTTTTTCCACGCGCGTCTCTCGTGAAACACACAATCAGAGAGAGGTGTTGCTACTTTTTATTGTTATTATATTATATTATTGCCGGCGCGGCTGCTTTTGTTACTTTCAGCGTCGCTAATGGTTATATTGCATCACGCTGGAGCGTCTTGTTGTGCATGTGTGTGGATTACCAACATTAGTTTATTATGGACACGTATACGGCAAAAAGGGCATGAAATGTAAAAAGGACGTCGACCCGACAGAGAGACAATGCGACAGACAAAAAATTATTATTATCTTTTTTAATTTTCAATCTGGCATTCTTTCTTGTTTCTTATTGTAAACCACACCTCTGGCTGTATTATGATATCTGCTCGCATTCCAGTCCGGAATTAATCTCGGCACAAAAGCATTATTTAGTTTTGTTGTTGTTCGCGAATCCATTAGAGACGGAGAATTTAATGAAAATTCCGCAGTGCAATGTCAATATGAATGAGAGCAATTCTAGACGTATATGCAAATTAACTCTGTAAGTAAAGTATAACCTCGGGACTTGAGAGATTTCTAATTAAGTTTGATTATAATTGAACGCAGACTCCTCTGCTGAAAGCTTCTGAGATGTCTGAGATGAAAATCGATTATAAGCTTTTTTACATCAAAGAAAAAATTGCCTTAATTTCTTGTTTTCATTGTAAAATTGAATAATTATGTAATAAAACTTTTCATTTTATTACATTACAAGTGAACTACTAGTATTTTCATTTGTTAAATTATTCAAATTGAATGTTGTGGTCCTGGAAAGTGATTATTTATTAATTTCATTTTGTCTAATCTAAATTGTTGCAGGAAAATTAAACGAATGCGTAAGAATATTATTTATGATTTTTATATTCTTTTGTGCTTATTTTTTAACGCTGAAACTGCAATTTTCGTTGAAACAAGAAGAATTCTAAAGATATGATTTAATTACCTTTTCTAATTCTTTTAATTTAATTTTTCTTTTAATTAAATAGAACAGACAGAGCGGTTGATGGTACCACTCTGTGCTAAATTTTCTGCTACAATGTAAAAAGGGTTTCCACTGTGAAATGTAGGAATTTAATTTTCTACTTGTTTATATTGAATTGTTCAGGCGTTTGACTGATTAAATTTTTTCTAATTTTTGGAAGAAGTTTTTCATTAATTTTCCAAGCTTTTCATCTGCTTACTGAATTACGCTGAATTACGGCAACTTTTTCTTCAATATAGAACTATACATATTTAGTAGAAAAGTATCAGAGGTGTGCATTTTTACTGATATATACATATGTTTTGTCAGAGCTAATACTTTTTTGGTTGTCAAAACAGCAGCCGTTGATTGATCAATTACAATAATAAACTTTTTGAACTCTCATCCATCAAAATTGAGTGTCTTGAGAAAAGTGCCAGAAGAAAACTTTTGCTCTGTTATAACTCACTCGTGCGCGCAATTTTCCACCTCTTATATGAAACGCATATTAAAAGCTCCCTCTTCCGAGCCTTGGTGATTATTTCAACACTGCGCAATTTGCGGCTGACGTGTTATTCCTTTTAAAATAATTTGCATGCAAGATTGACAAGGTTTCGCTGATTATCTCGAATCTTATTGGTTGACAGTAACACAAAAGTGCACTTTGTTTGATTATGTAGCATCAGTCATTTTAGTCTTGACCACCGATAAAAAACCGTCAGTGGCTATTTATCTCGCTTTGAATGGGCGCGTCGATCAAAAGTGGCGCGGCAAGCGTAATTCATATTTTATTTTTTAGCTGTGAATTATAAATTTTTTTCTTATCAAATAGATTTTTTAAGTGGTTGAAAAGTGTATTTAAATATTTTCTTCATCTTCAGAATTGGAGATACAAATTTCTTTTTGAATAATTATATTTACAAATACAATTACAAGTCAATTTGATTTAAGTGTAGTATACCTCATCTCTTTTAAATGCTCAAAATCAATTGGAAATACCTAGAACGGTGACAAAAATACATGACGTATTTTTTAAAGGTGAGACCAACTACATACGTATCGGGCAAAAAGGATTTAATAGAGAGTAATTTTTTCAAACCACAGGAAACAAAATAAAATATTGTGAATACTTGATATATTTTATTTACAGTGGGGTTTTATTTAACTATTTTATAAAATGAAACAATCAAAATAGTAAAAAAAAAAACCAAAGACAATTTAAGATTAAAAATAATACTTAAGGCTTTTAAAAGTTTTGAAATAATTTTGAAAAAAACAATATTCACATTTTCTTGCAAAAGTAGAAAAATAACTGTTTTTATCTCACATTATACACCATTGTATACCATTTAACATAATCAAAATTGCACAAGATCTTTTGTCGGGATGTATATTATTTTTGAGTGAATTAAAAAAATTAATCAAAAAAACTTTTGCAGACGAAGCTAGTTGAAAAATATAGAAGGTCCACTACGGATTATGTACCATTTAATTTCACATATTATCGTACTGTTTTTGCCTGTGCAATTTTTCTTCTCAAAAGTAAATGGCCCGTAGTTTCCTTGAGGCAATGGCGCGACGAATTTGCAATAAATTCTCGTAAGTAGAGGGAGGTTTTGCAAATTCCTGGGGCGCACAAGCAACGCTCGACATGCATCGTCATTTTCCACACCGCCGGCTAGATTGCGACCGCAGTCATCTTTTTCTTATTTGCAGCTTGTATTACACGGCCGTGAATGAGGAACAGTATAAACGTGCACCTTTTGCGCCGGGAATAAAAATTGAGTCGCACACGTTATTGGCCATAAAAACACAGCCTTGCGTTGGAATAAATAATGCACACGAAGACCACACTCGGGAAACGATGAAAATAAAAATAAGAGTGAAACAAACGGAGAGATTTCATTTTGAACGAGAATATACGAGTAAAACAAAACTGATATTGCCCTGTTGATCTTTTAAAGAAACTATAGTTTTATTGCAACAATTTCGAATAAAAAATTAAGCAGGCTCATTTTGATCTATTAATGATTTCCTGTAACCATAAAAAATTAAGTTTAAAGGCCATCATCAGAGGTAACAATAATAATAACAGGTAATGGTAATGTTAATTCTTAATTTCAAGGAAATAAAAATTTCATATGACCGACGCTGAAAATATTATTATTAAATTCATTTTTCTCTGTTGGTAAAAAATTTTAAACATTGGGAAAACAGAAGAAAGGGTTTCCAACT